AAAATAATAAATAAAAGCTTTTTTTTAATGTTTAAAAAAATATTTTAAAATAAGAAAAATGATTGTAAAGTGATCCAAAAACACTGAAATCATGAAAAGTCATCTGTTCCTGAGAAACTCAAACAGGAGAAATCCAGAGGAACTCGTAGGACTCCTGTGGGTTGTTTATTAAACCAGTATCTTACTTTGAAAATTGGTGAATGAAGGGTAAGACTCAAGCTCTGTGCACATTATACACAGGATTATTAAGCCCATTGTAACACCCATGGTATGTAATCATTATACCCAAATTTGGGCAAGAAGTGTGCTTTTTACATGGCAAAATACGGTACTTATGGCTAACAAATTACCCCAGAGCTGGGCTGCTTGAAACAACGGTTTATTTATTATCTCCCAGTTTCTGTGGGTCAGGAATCCAGGCAGGCTCAGCTGCGTCTAGAATCGAGGTGCTGGCAGGCCTGCGGTTGATATCTCAAGGCTCAGTTCGGGGAGGCTCCACTTCCCAGTTCATTGGCAGGTTCAGATCCTCGCCGACTGTCTGCCCAGAGACAGGACCTGCTTCGTGGGCGTGTGACCCAGACAGATGCTTGGGGCCGGGCTCAGGAGGACTGTTCTGGGTTCCGTGCTCCGCTGCCTGTCTGACACCTTCATCTCAGAACTTGTGTTCTGTGAGTGAAGCCTCATGGGACAATGGAGTGTGCGCGTGAGCCGAGATTCACTGCGTTCGCGCCTGCCGTCATCCCTCGGGGCCTCGTTGTCACAGAGCCTCCGGGACCCCATGAGCGCTGAGCTCTGGGCTACCCACACTAGGTGGGAGTTTGGCGAGATGCAAGTGTCAGATAAGTGTGCGAAGCAAGTCACCGGCTTCCATATAGGGTCCTGGTAGCATCAAAAAGTGAAATAAGAAACAGTTGAGCTAGTCTGCAGCGACCTTTCGCTGATCTGGTAAGAGTGCTGCACAACCACGTGCACGCCCGAGCCACGCAACACCAATGGTGCACGTTTAAGGATTCTGCCGAGGAGCTAAGGGCTCTTGTATTAGTATTTAAAATCTGGCACCGCCCAACACGAACAGTGAAATTCATGCTAATCATTTAACGTTCCGTTTCAAAGTCCCTGACATTAATAGAGGAAATTAAATGGCAAAGAGAAAAACACAGTGACAACTCAAAGGAGACCAGAGAGGAAAGGAAAAGGTTTGTAATAGGACAAAAGCCCCCTTTGCACAGAGACAGCATCAAAACAAGCTGCAGCCCAACTGAACGAACTGAAGCACCTGCTCCACTGGCCCATCGCGCCCCCGCCCCCCGCCCCGCCCTGCCAGCCTGAGAAAACGCACAGCTGTGAGCCCTCAGGGCTGGTGCTGGGGCTGCTGCACCTCTCCCCACCCAGCCCTTTCCTTCCCTTGGGAAAGGAAAAAGAAAATCTTTACTCTGCACTTTCTTCTCTTTGTGAATTCTTCCACAGCCCGTGTCACCGAGCGTCCTCAGTTTGTATTTGGTACCTTTAACAACCCCCTTTCCCTGGCTTTGAAACGAGGGCCCACACCTCCGTTCACAAAGGTCCCTGGTGACACCGCTGCCGGGCCCTTTATTTCCTGCCCGTTCGGCCCCTGCCCGTCCTGGCCCTTGTACAGGGCAGCTCCAGCAGGCGCTGGTCCGGCACAGGAGCGGGGAATTTTTATCTTTTCTTCCTGTTTTTCTTTTTTCCGCAAACGCCTGCAATGATCATATATTGCTTTTGCAGTCATACAAAACCCCTATGCTATTTTTAAAGCTATGTATAAAAATGTAAAGCATTATATAATTTTTAATGAGTACAAAAGACAGCTGGAAGATTGGGCGAGGGTGAAGTATTATGAGTGACTTCTCTCCTAAATTTTATGAAACGCAGTTGAACTTTTTTTTTTTACATCACAGAATTGTTTTTAACAATGAACAGTATTGCATGTTCGGTCTGTGGACGTGGACAAAGCCAAGAGCCTCCGTTCCCACCTGCCCTGGGAGGCTCCTCCTCTCTACCCATGCCCACTTCTCAGTTCGTGGCACACTTCTCAGGAATCACAGGCCCTTCCCTTTCTTTAGTAACCCCCCCACCCACCTCCCGTCCCACCCCCTCGGTACCCCTCCCCCACAGGCTTCCCAGGCAGGGACCTGGACTGGCACTACACCGAGCAGCAGCCGGCCGGGGATCTCCCTCGCGAGTCCTCTCGGGCCTCCAGGAAATGCTCCCCTGGCAGCTTTAAGGGCTTTGTCCCAGCTCCTGACCCCCTGCCCCTTGGTGGGCTCTTCCCTTTACCCCTGACCTCAGGGTCAAGTGCTCCAGGACTCCGCCCGCCCCTCCTCTCCTCCCACAGTCTCTGCCCAGCCACCCCCTCCACTCCCAGATGTCAGCCCCGGCTCTGACAGCGTCACCATGCGTTTTGTGTGGACAAAGAACTCCTGATCGTCTTCCTGCCCAAACCTGTCCTCCCCTGGCTCTTTCCCTACAGAACAGGGCCGCTCCATTCGCCAAGGAAAGCAGGCAGAACAAAAACCTTGCAGGCGTCCTCAGCTGGCCTCTCTGTCACCCCTGACACCCAATCCACCGATAAATCCCGTTGGACCAACTTCAAAAGTAAATCCTGACTCTGTCGCCTCCAGAAACCTCCTCTGCTATCCCGAGTCCCAGCGTCCCCCTCCCCCGCTGCCATACTGCCCCCTGCGGCCACCACCCCCACAGCCCCTGAGCCCTGCTTCTGACGGTGAAAGGTCACCTCCCAACTCCCTCCCAGGGAGGCGACTGCAGGGCTCACGCATCAAAATTTTAAACAAAGGCTGTTGTTTGTTTTAAGGAGCCTCCGTGGCTCTTGTGTCCCCAACTCAGTTCGTTTGTAAGTGTTGACAGAGGCAAGCCAGCAGCCTGGATTTGGTGGGGTTGTTTACGCATGGGCCTTTTCTCTTTTTATTAGAATATTTATTAAATTTTTCCACCTGGCTGACAATATGGGAGGCCAACGTTCAGGAGCCTGAATGGGGCACACTTTTTTCTTTCTGCCTTGGGCTCAAGTATGGTGCTTCCTCCTTCCCAGTAGGGAGGTGGAGGGCACCCCCAAGTGGGAAAGCGCGGAGCTCAGGTCGCCTGTTGCACTGGCTGCGGCTTCCCGGGTGGCGGCCCCGCCACGGCCGGCAGGGGGCGCCGTGGGACCGCGCGGCCGCGGCGGCCGGTCAGGAAGGAGCCGCAGACGGCTCCCCCGTTCCCGACGCCCCCTCGCGCGCAGCCTGAGCACGCCAGGGGGAGCTGACCCAGTTGCTCAGCTCGTGGATGACAAGGCCGTCCCTGAGACTGGAGCACAAAACAGAAGCCCAGACAGACAGTGCTCGTCTACCCTGGAGCCCCTGCACCCAGTGTGCAGCCCACTCAGGGACACCTGGGCCCTGGCCAGCGCCACCCCTGGGCCCTCCACCCCGCAAGCTTCATGCCTCGCTCAGGTCCGGGGTGAATCATTAGTGGCGAGTGTCCTCTCTCTAGAGCGTGAGAGCGATCCCAGTTTAAGCTGGCTCAGAGGCCCCTTCCCCACTCTGAAGCCAACTGAAGTGAACTTGGGGAGGGGATCTTTCTTCCCAGAGACTACCCCCACCACGACTGCTGATGCCTCTCTGGCCCCGGCCCCCGGCCCCACCCCCACCCCGTCTGGCTCTGGTTCAGCCCCTGCTCACCCGCCCCCAGGACCTGGCCAGGCCCCTGGGCTGCTTCTGCTTCCCTTCCCTTGCCCTCTGCCCTCTGACATCACCTTGTTCATGCACCTCCCTTCCTCTTCCCACCTCTGCCCACTCTCTGTCAACACTCGTGGCTCATCTTGGCCCAGCCCACCCTTTCTCCCCTTCCCATCTGGCGCCTCCGATGGCGGGAAGGTCACTCTGCTCAACACTCCCCTGTCCCCGGCACTTGGGCACCTGCCTTGCAGGGCAGACGTCGTGTTCACTCCCGCTTTAAATTACAGGCGACTGCAGTGCAGAAAGCCCACCCGGTGATCCGCCCGAGGTCACGCAGCAGGAGGCGGCAGGCTGACCGCGAGCCTGGCGCCCCATCTCGCAGGGCGGCCTCCCTGGAGAGGCTCTGCCCACGCTGTCACCTCCCCTTCTGCTCCGTCCGCCCAGCTCGCCCTTGGCCTGCGTGCAGGCTTTGCTTTCTAAGAGTGGCATTTATTTATTCTTCGGATTTCTAGCGCATCCCTCCGCCGAGCCGGTCGGGAGATAAAGGCACAGACCGCGCACAGGGAGTTCCCGGTCTGGGAGGCAAGCCCTTTCCTGTGTGTCTGCTGCATCTTCCCAGGCAGCCGGCGCCCTCCCGAGGGGCAGAGGCTGCTTCCTGCCCCGCCTGCGGCCCACCCAGGGGTGGCGACCTCCTGGGCCCTTCTCCGGGAGTCGTTGCTGCTGTTGCCTCCACCCTGTGTGGGGGCTGGGCAGGCCTGGCCTGAGTCTGCGGGGTGCAGGATAGAGGGCTTGGGAAGAGGGTCTGGTTGCTGAGAGCCCAGGGGAGGTGCTGGGATTTAAGGCTAAGAGCACACTTCCTTCCTCCAACACCCAAGGGCTGACCACCCCCCCCATGCACTCTGCTCAGGAAGACAGGCCCCCGCCAGCACAGGCAGACGGACAGGACAGCAGGCCCTTCTCTCTGGACATCTTTTCTTTGATTCCTCCCTTACTCACCCTGTCCTTGCCAGGGCGGAGATTTCCAGAACAAATGATGGAAGCCCCCTGACTTTTTTGAACAAGCACAGACAACCCTCCAGCACCGCCGCCCCCTCCCCCAAGACCAGCGTCCAGTCTCCAGCCCGGCGCTCCCGGTTACACAGGTCAGGGCCCCCAACTCAGAGGGGTCCCTGACCAGCCAAGGCTGGCACACAGCCCGGGGGAGGGGCCGCCCAGAGAAAGCCCCGAGCCCTGAAGTCAGGAGCGGAGACAGAAGCGAGGGGCAGATGGCAGGAAGAGACCGCACGAGCGCGCAGACACAGGAAGAGGAGTCTGTTTAATGACACGGCTGGGTCTGGTTACAAACATCAGAAACTACAAAAGGAGGGCAGGCAGTTACACGGACGGCTGCGCAAGGATGGGACGGGAGGGGCACAGGCGCGCTAGTCACAGCAGTGAAACATCCTTGAGGATGGTACACGTGACCAAGGGGCACACACCGGGCATAGCCCCCGGCGGCGGGGGCCCAGGTGGACGGGCAGGGCCCACTGCCAGCCCACAGCCGGGAGCAGCGGGGGAGGGGGCCCTGGGCCCCCAGAGCTCCAGGACTAGCCGGAGGCATCTGGTCCTGTCACCGTCGTCCCTCCTCCCTCTGGGGCTGTCTTAGTGACAAAAGCAGATGGGGCTGGCATTAGGGTTTTTTTTTTTACCGTGGCCCCTCCCCCAGCACATCCACCCTCTCCGGAACTTCTGCCCTCTGTCTGCCCTTGCCCGCTGGGGAGCGAGGCAGGGAGCCACGCACATCCTCGCGTGCGGGGCAAAGGCGGGGAGAACCAAACCCTTCTTGCCTAGAAGTGGAGGGCGGGAAGGCGGGGACCCCCACCCTGCCCATGCAGGCCCCTGGGTCACCCCAATGCTGCCAACAGGCCCAGGTCCTCTCTGTGCGGCTGTGGCACCCCCAGCCCGGCCTGCATACTCTCTCCTCTGCCCAGAAGCATGACTGGGACCCCTCCCTGCCCCACGCGCAGAGGGGCAGAGGCGAGGCTTCCCGTGCGCCTCTGGGCCCCGTGGGTACACGTCGCAGATATGTCTGTATATACGCATATAGATTGTATATAGAATAGATCTGTGTATATGGTGGGTGCGTGTGCGTGATAGTCTAGATAGGCGGAGTGGAGACCTGCATGCTGGCCGGACAGATGGGAACGGGGCAGGCGCCTGCCCGCCGTGACTCACAGGCCTGGCCCCGCTTCCTGCCAGCTGCTCAGCTAGGTCTCTGACAGTGAGTAGAAAAGCTAAGAAGAGTGGGCCTGGCTCTTCAAGGAGGAAGGGACCCCCACCCCTCAGGCCACCCGCCGCCCAGTGGGTCAGCATCCAGTGCCACCTCCCGGCGGCTCCAGGGGGACTGTGGCTGAGGCAGAGGCCTCTTTCCAGGAAGACGAGTCAGGGATTCTTCCAGCTTCCTTGGCACCCGGAAATGGAGGGTCAAGGAGGGTCTTCAGAGCTCGGCCTTCTGCGCAAGGTGCTGCCAGGGAGGGGGGAGGACAGAAGGGACCCTACGGCCCCGAGGAGGGCAGCGTGGCCGGTGGGCTGTGGACAAGAGAGAGGAGACGGAGGCGACAGGTCACAAGCAGCACAGTCTAGGACCAGGGGACAGGGGAGGTAGGGGAGAGGGATCCGGGGGCGCAAGGCAGCACAAGGTGAAAGCAGCCCACGAGACCCGAGCTCTGGTCCCGCTTCTGCGGGGAGCCGGCTGAGTGGCCTCAGGTGAGCTGGTGGCCTCTCGGAGCCGCAGGTCACTCTCTACCACGGGACGCCCGCCTCGCCCAGCTCCATGAGAATTGAGTACCGTTCGCTGTGGGAAAGTGCTTCGCCCACAGCAAAGAACCACACAAAGCGCACTCTCTGCTGCTGAGACACGTGAGCCCTCTGCTTGGCCTGGCCCCGTCCCCCCGGGCCACCCATTTGCGCTCCCAGCCATGTCCCCCGCCCGCCTCTGCACCCACAAACGCACACACGCCCTTAAGCAGAGACAGTTCAGTAAACAGCGGCGTCTGGCCCACCCCTGGTCCCTGATAAGAGGAACTGGATGGAGCCTTCTAGAACTCTGCCCTGTCGCTCCCTCCCACCCTGGGGTCTTGGCAGAGGTTGAATCTGCAGGCCCTAGCCAGGGAGGCTTGCCTTCTTGGGGACCAGAGGTGGGGGGACAGTGTGCAAAGAGATGGGGGGGACGATCCCCACAACATCACAGCTGGGGAAGGGGGGTAACCCAAAGGCAAGGGGCCCCGGCCCAGGCGGGAGCAGGGCCCAGCCATTGTCTACTCCAGCCATCGCCCCTCAGTCTACAAGGAGAACCGGGCGGATGAGGATATTCTGGCGGTTTCCTAATTCTTGGGGCTTGGTGAGATTTAAGTCCCAGGGGTCCAGCTGGGGCAAGAGAGGGGACGGGCCAGGGCTTCGTGTCGGGAACCTTGTCCATGTGTTTCTGATTCACTGGGGCTTGTGCTGGCCAGCTCTCTCCCTCCCGTCCCTCTAGGCCCCAGGAAAAAAGCCCTTTTCTCTAGAAGCAGGAAGTCTTGTCTCCTGGCTGTAAACAAACTCATCTGTAGCGTCAGAGCCTGCCTGGGGAGAGGCGAGGGGAGGGCAAGCCCCCACCCCCGCCGGACGTCCCCCACCGCCGCCCCTCTGGCTGCCCCCTGCAGCGGCCCAGGCTCTTCTGGCACCTCCCAGGGCAGGTAAAGCCCTGCTGGCCTCCCACCCGCCACGGGACCGGGGGCGGGCCCGGGCCCAGCTGCGCACATCTGGAGCGGCTGCCTGGCTGTGGCCACAGCTCTGAGGACTCCGCTCTCCTGGGTGGTGCGATGGGGGCGGGGCGGGGCAGGAGGGGGCCAGGGCCAGTGTGGTCAGTGCAGGGACGGACTGTCAGAGGAGGCCTGGCCTCCCACAGCTGCCCTGGGCGACCTTCTCTTCGGAGCTGCGCCCACCGGGAGGCCTGTGAGCAAGAAGTCCAGAGCCCCGCGGGCCAGCTCGGACAGAACCCGGGGGCAGACGCTGCCTTTTCCATGGGAAACTGCTGGGAATGTTTCTCTGCAGCGAGCGTCCTGAGCTGCTGGCTGACCCCTGCTTCCCATTCCCGCCTCTGCTCCCGCCCGCCCCTGCGTGGAGCTCCCAGCGCCGCCGCCCCTGGGGGCCCAGGGAGGCCGGAGTGTTCCCAGCCGCCACGACTGGGGCCAGCCCTCCCCCGTGCTCCACGTCAGCTGGAGTCACGGAGGCCGGCCACCCTCCTTGGGCCACCTCCCGGGCCCTCGCCCCAGAACTGGGAACCGGGCCTCCGGGGCCAGCCCAGAAGCAAACACCCCTGCTGGTGTGCGTGACAGTGACACCCACACAGGCCCGGGGGCCTGGCCCTGCAGGCGCCTGTGCACGGGTCCTCGTGACTTCTCTTGGCTCAACCTTGTAGAGTTGGAGGTGGGAGAGAGGGCTGGTCAGCCTTACGTGAAAACAGCCCCATGTGACTGGCGCCTGGGGAGGAAGGGGCCGGAACCACCTGGCAGCCGCTGGGCTCCGCGAGCCAGCCTTCCTGCCAGGAACCTTCCGCCGCTGCCGTGGGTGCTCTGAGAACGCCCCTGCTCTGGCGGGGTGGGGGCCTCACGGGGGGCTCGCAGCTCTGCGCCGGCAGGAGTACCGGCCTGTATGTGGGAGGCCTGTTCCCCTCGTGCCTGGCCCTGGACCCAGCCTCCTGCCCAGCGGTCAGCCCTGGGCCCCGGGAGAGATGGGAGACCAGGGGACAGGGGAAGACGTGGCAGGGAGCTGCCCAGCCCACCCTCGCCCCTCCTCACGTGGTGGCGTTGGGGACCTGCTGTACCCAGCCCACTTCCTTGTAGGCAGCGGTCACGTGGCTGTAGATGAGGCCACGCAGCTTGGCCCAGGCTCTCTGCGTCTCGGGCGGGAAGTCATTGGCAAATTCCTCGGCGATCACCTCCAGGATGACCCCAGAGAGGATCTGGGGGCAAAGAGAAGAAGGGAAGTAAACGCGTGGGCGCTCTTGCCCCCCAGCCCCCCGCGCCCTCTCCTCCCCGTGGAGGCGGTTGTTCATGACACAGCAGCGGCCCTTGCAGGGACCAGACACCCCCAAGACGCAGCCGCCCATCCTGCTGCCCCTCCCTGTCACGACCCAGCCAGCGGACGAGCCTGGGTGGCCTGCGGTCACCTCCTGGCTCCAGCGAGCCCTCCCAGTGCCTGCTGGTGGTCATAGGCCCTCGGGGGCTCTGGGGCAGGCAGGGGCGAGGGCACACCTTGAAGTACACCGGCTCCACCTTGTGCTTGAGGGCGTGGGCTTTGCCCACCAGGGCGAGCACAGAGGACACCTTCTCGGGGTCGTGCAGGTTCTCCACGACGGTGTTGAGGGCCCCCATGACGCGGCAGGCGTGCTTCCGCAGCTGGGGGCTGCGCTCCATCTCCAGAGGCTCCTCCATGTGCCTGAACTGGCTGAAGTACTGCTTGGCCGACGGGAAGTTCACAAAGAACCTGGCAGGAGGGAGGGGTGGGCGCTGAAGCAGGGCTGCCCCGGTGCCCCCTGCCCCCAGGCAAGTGGCCAGGATGTGGGGGGTGCGGGATGGGAGAGGCAGGACTCACCCCAATAATTGTGTTCACCCCCTGGGAGCCGTCCCTCCAACACAGACCCTCCTCTGGCCCAGCTGGCTGCATGCACCCCTATTTCCGTCCCTGCCATTTCTGCCAGCCAGACTCGCTCGGGCCGGCAGCTGCGTCTCCCGGGCCTCTAACCTCCTTGCTCCTCGCCCCCTTTGCAAAGCCTACCCACCCTCGGGGCCGCTCCGGTCAGAGCGGACAGGGTGACAGGCTTCGTTCCGGAATCACGGGCCAGCGTGACCTCGGGCAAGTGATTTTCTGAGCCTCAGTTTCCTCACCCGTGACGCAGGCATCATCATTCCTATGTTGTGAGTTGTTGTGAGGATGAAGTGAGAAACTGTGTGTGGACCCACGCAACTGCTGGGGACTCAGCAAATGCCTGCCTGAAGGGTGGCAACACTGGAGCACTCTTTGTAGACAGAGTAAAGCGGGACTGACCGGGCTCAGGCCTCCCGGCCACCAAGGGAAGAAATGAGACTCAGTCCGTCTCCTCCCAGCTCCATCTCTTCCCTCCCTCCTCAGCCCGCAGTGACTCTCAATCAGTTGATTTAATTAAAGATAGCGATTGATTTTACCTGCCTGGCACGGTTCTGTAATTACTTCACGCCCGGACATCCTACCATTCCGGCAAGCCTGCACACTCCTTGGAACAGACCCCAGGTCTTTCCGGCCATAGCCCCTCACCTCTCCAGTTTATCTGAAATTCTCTCTCACTTCCATCACAATGCTCTCATGAGCAGACGCCTCCCATGTTTACGGGACGAAGTCAAAAGTCCTCAGCCTGCTACCCTGGCCTTCTGGCAAACTGCCCGCCCAGGGACACGTCCGCACCGACTTCTGCAGCACCCCGTGCACACTGCCCTCCGCCGAGCCTGCTCCGTCCAGCCCAGAAGCCCCCCTCCCCGTGGGCACAAGCCCTCGGACGTGCCAGCCTCCCTCCCTTCTCACGGGGGCGCCTTCCTGCGTCAGCCTTTCCTCTCCCGGGCGCCCAGGCTGGCCCGGGGCTCCTGCTTTCCCCTCATGGCCATGCGTGGGTCCCCTGGCAGCTGTTATTGGTCCCTCAGCCCAAGGGCAGGGCCGAGGTCTTCCGCACCCCGCGGTCCCTCGCCCCGGCCCAGGGCGTCTGCAGGAAGACGCTGGTGACTGGGGCTGGACGTCACGGATGCTGTGGTCACAAACTCAGTCAGAACTTACATAACAGAACTGAAGCCTCAGAAAATGTATGGAATGTCTTGGGCCTGTTTTTTCAAGTTGTTTCATAGTTTGGAGTGTCCCGCTTTGTGATCAGAGCTGATAATTTGCCAAACCAGCCCTGAGGCCAGAGGTAAAGTCTCGGACCTGAGATTTCGACCAGATGCAGGAAGGGCAGCTGGCCCGGGTCATCCCGGCTGGGGAGCTGCCGACGGCGGGGAGTGACCGGGACCTGTCTGCAAAAGTGGGAGGGGAGTCCCTCCTTGCTCCCCGCTTCACAGACTTGCGGTGAGGACAAGGAGGCAGTGAGTCTGAGAGCACATTGGGTTTTTTCTGGAGAAGCATCGTAACGAAGGACAAATGTGGAAAACCCAATCCTCAAGTGAGGATCTCAGACTCTGGGGTTTTACGTTCCGAACAAGTAATGGTTTCTATTTGCCTGGTGCGTTACAATGTGCAAAGCATCTCCACCTGTTATTTCATTCAATTACCACAACTGCGCAGTTACTACATCCATTTTACTGATGAGGAGCTATCAGGGAATGTTTATTGAGCATTTACTAAGTGATCTCATTAGTCCTTGCAATACCCTCCTGGGCTTCGGCACTGTTTTGTCCCCGCCGTCTGGACTAGCCACTGGTGTCTACGGCTGCCCGGTGGAGCTGGTGGCAGGGCCAGGAAGGGGCCTGGCAGCCGTGCTGTGACAGTTCGCCTACCGCAGTGCGGCAGTGGCGGCGGGGGGCGGGCGGCCTGGGACCCAGGTGTGTCTCCTGCCTCAACACCCAGCGCCAGATCACAGCTCTGCGAATGGCAGTCCAGGGAGCCCCTCTTCTGTGTCAGGGGAGCCTCAGGGCCACATGCTCTGCCCCTTCGTCCTGGCTTGACCCCCCGCCCCGCCTCCGCACCCATGCCTGCGCTGCCCGGAGAAGCCTCGGTGGCCAGCCCTGGGGACTCCCTCAGCTCTCAGAGGCAGCTGGCCTGAGCGTGGGGGCTGCAGGGCACCCATCGGGCGGGCAGCCTCCCTGGGGCACGGGTGTCCCCCCTCCCTGTCTCCTCCCCGGCAGGCAGGGGAGGTCTGGGGTCAGGCTCAGACCGCCAGGCGGGTCCTCCAGCGCCTCCAGCACTGCGGCTGCTAACTCCCAGGGCGAGGCTGGGGCGTTCAGGGGCGCCTCGGGCCCCAGCCCGGTGGGGAGGGAGAGGCTGAGAGCGATGGTCGGAGGGCTAGTGTCTCAGGCCCTCACTGGGGCCTGCCCGTGTGGGGTTTTGTGGGAAGATAGGAGAGGGTGTGACGAAACTGAAGGGCACAGGACCTGGGGGGAGTGCTTTGGGACACCTGAGAAGCCTATCAGCCTTGCCCTCATCCCCGTTTAGCCCCCAGAAAGGCCAGATGCTGGGGCAGAGAACAGAAGGAGGAAACAGAGAGGAAGGCTGGCAGGACTTGGGGCTGGCAGGGACGGGCCGGGATGGGCTGGACTGGGCTGGGCGCTGGTCAACACAGAGGCGGGCTCTGGCCGAGCAGTCACAACTGCTGCCCCAGCCAGCTCAGACGAAATGCGGCCCCGCACTCTGGGGACGCCTCCCCCAGCCCGGCTCCGGCAGCCTCAGCCTCAGCCTCAGGCGTGCAGCACTAGAAGGGTTCAGGGGGAGAAAGAAGCCTCTCCAAGGGCGCAGGCTGTTCAGAAAGGCTCAGCTCTCAGGGTTCGGTTCCCTCCTCCGCACGCCCTCCTGTCTGGGGAGGTTGGGTGGTACCCTAGGAGCCGGACCTGGGACCCATCCCCTACATGTTCTCACTGGCAATGGCAGGAGGCAGCACAAACAATCTCTGATGTCTGTCCTGGGGACTCTGTCTCATTTCCTGTGGGTGACCCCTGGGTGCGCTGGTGCGTCCGAGGCTGGCGGGCCCTGCTGTGCACAAGGCTGAGGGCGGCCCTCCCAGGAGGCAATCTGGTGCACCCGGGACGCCTCTGCCCGCCGTTGCTCATGTGGGTGCTCCCGCGTGCGCGCTGCGTCTCTGAATGTCTGACGGCTTCGGGGTCTGCAATCCCCTTAATTTCCCCACCACCGCCGGGAGCTGCCAGAATAGCCGCCCCTTCCTCAGGAACCCTCCTCCAACTCCGCAAGAGTGCTTCTTGCTCTTTTTCCTCCAAAACCTGTTTCTTCGCTGGAATCAGGGCATAGCGCTACGGAGCTGGGTAGGTCCCAGGTTTGGGGGAGGCAGAAGGGAGGGAGCGTGGAGGAGAAAGAGGAGGCAGAGCTGTGGCCAGGACAGGAGCTGGGCGCGCGCTTCGTCTGGCCTTTCCCTGGCGAGCGTTTGCCCCGTCTTCAACTAATACAACTGACCTGCTCTGTCCTAGATTTGAGAGCTTCCCCCTGCCAAGGACAGGTTTGAGGGTGAATGTGTGGTCTGGGGCGTCTCTGCCGCTGGCACCCCCAGGGACTGGCACGTGTGGGAAGTGAGCGTAGATCCGTCGCTATAGCCAGTTACCAGTTTGTGGGGCTCAGGGACACTTTCTCTATAGGAATGGTGTGAGCACTAGTGTGTATGCGGGTGAATAACAGTATGACTGTGTATGGGGGTCCCTCCCCAGCATGAGGTGCCCGAATGGCCCCTGAGCCCCGACACATGGCCCTTCCTCCCCAGGTCGAGGGTTCAGGGCGGGGGCCTGTGTCCTGTAGCTTCTCCCTTTCCCGGCACAGAAACTCAGCAGGAACAGTATCCTAGGGGACGCTCTGTTTCTCCATTCACCTGTGCCTCACCTGGGAGCTCCCTGCTGACCCGCTCCCGGGGGGGAGGAAGGGGCTGCTGGGAAACCGGACACAGCCTCTGTTCCTTCTGACCTCTATTTTCTTGCCCTTTGCTCTGTTCTTCCATGAGGCTCTGAGTTCTTTCCAGGGGTTGAGTGGATCGAGGGCTCTGCTCCTCTCTGTCCTCCTCATGGGCTGAGCCTCAGTTTCCCTACTCTAAAACGGGGAGCCCCTACTAAAACCCCCTTTTGAAGAGCTGGTGAAACGTGGGAGGCTGGGGTCACTGGCGAGGAAGGCATGACCGGCTGAGCTTGGAGTCCTGAGGCCAGGGAGAGGAGGGGGACGGGGGTGCCCTCCTTCTGCTTCTGCTTCCTAGTTCCTGGTGAGCCCCGAGCCCAGGGCCAGGGAGGGCTCAGTCAGAGCTTTGCCCACCCAAGACGCCCCACGCTGCCCGCGCCCGCCTGCCCGGCCCCAATCGCATCTGGGGAGGTGGCGCCGAGCTCGGACCCGGGCCGAGCCCGCCCCTGCCCGGAGCCGCCGCCGGTTTCCCTCCCCCGGGCCCGGCAGAGCTGGGGCGACACCTACCTCACCAGGATGGCCACCCCCACGTCCTCGCAGTTGGCATAGAGCCGGGCCCACGTAGCCTGCACCGCCTTCCTCTCCGCCTCGGACAGCTCCTCGCTCCGCTCCCTGCGCTCAATCTCCATCTCGCCCGGCACTTTCTCCATGGGCAGCACCAAGCCCAGCCCGGCTTCGCTCGGCGGCGGCGGGGCGCGGGGCGCGGGGCGCGGGGAGCCGGGGCCGGCTGCGTGCGCGGCTGGCGGGCGGGCGGGCGAGGGGTAGAGCGCGCCGGAGGGAGGGAGCGTGTCTGTGCGCGCCGCGTGTGTGTGTGTGTGTGTGTGTGTGTGTGTGTGTGTGTGTGTGTGTGTGTCTGCGCACAGGGTATATGTGCGGGGGGCGGGGGACCGCGAGCGGGGGGCGGGGATGTGGTCTGATGGAAAAACGTAAAAAAAAAAAAAAAAAAAAATTCGCTCCCAAACCCCAACCCCGTGTGCCTGAGCCAATGTTTGCAAGGTGAAGGCTGGGCAGGGTGGGGGCGCCGGGGTCGGCGCTTGCCCGCCCTCCCGCAGGGACCCCACGGAGTTTGACCGCGGGGCGGGGCTGAGACGTGGGTGTGGCGGGGGTGCCGGGGGTCCTGGGAGGAGGGGCGGTCACGCGGCGCGGGACAGTGCGGGCTGCCCAGAAGTGCGCCCCCGCGGGTGCCGGTCGGGGACCTCGCGGCCCCGCTCACGCTGCGGCCGGAGTCCGGACGCGTGCGTGTGTGCCCCCTCCACGCTGCGGGGAAGTGACTCAAAAGTCATAGACTTCCAGGCATTTGCGGTGTGGTCGCCCGCCGGAGGGGAGGACCCGAGCCTCTCCGGCGGCGCCGCGTCCGCTCTGAGCTCCCGCCGGCTCCTGGCCTCTCCCGCGCGGGCCGCTGGGGGCCGTGGCTCCGCTCCCCGAGTTCTGGACCCGGGGCAACGGACAGTTGGGACTGGGTCGACTGGGTCGTTTCCCTGCGCCAGTGCCTTGTGGGATCCCCCGCTGCAGGGACAGGCGCCCGCTGTTAAACTTGAGCGCCAGAGGCCCGTGCCCCGTTTCCTTCCGTCCAGCACCCCCTGCGCGGCTGCAAATACCCATGTCATCGGAAAGAAGTCCCTGGTGGCTTATTAGTGACGCAGGCAGGCGACAACCGGGCACTGCCCCGAAATCTGGCCCTAGCGGGGCAAAGTCCGAAGGAGAAGCAGCCGGGCTGGACAAAGCTGACCGGGAGGATGAGGAACTCTTGGAGAGGCCCGGGCTGCTGGAGAGTCTCAGGCACCAAGGCTCCTATTAGGGAGGGGTCCTGGGGGTGGAGGAAACGAATTCTTGTCCTGGGGGCCTTGCTCAGGGAGTGGTGGGTGCTGCTGGACCAGCGGCGGGGACTGTGCCTCTGGAGCCACAGGGTTCCCACCCGCAAGCAGCCGCTCTGGCCTGGGACGGCCAGGTCCCACCTCTGACTCCCAGCGGAAGCCGATGCCTGCCCGGCGCAGCGTCTCCTCTGAGCCATGTGACTGCACATTCCGGGTGTGTCCAGTTTTCCCTAAGGCTCCCTGGTGACCCTGCCCTTCTCAAGACTCTGTGTCCCACTGGTCAAGTATTGCAAGGGGTTGGCTCTCCTCCTCAGCTTTGGCTTATGTGTTTATTTTAAAATTCACATTTCAAAGTAGGGGGCCCAAGCGCAGCCCCAGCTCTGGCCCTCCCTGGACTTCAAGGTTCAGGTGCGTTCCCGGAGTCCTGCCCCAGTGGCCTTCGGCCGCGAGGGAAGGGGACCCCAGCCTTCGCAGAGGGGTCTAGGAGGGGTGTGGGGGAGAGGGCCGGGTCAGCTCCTTACATTCGTCTCAGGCCCACGGCCTCATTTCGGTCCCTGCTGCCGCTGCCCCACGCCCTGCAGCAGCCTCAGCCAAGACTGAGCCCTCTGCCCTGGGCCACCTCACTGAACCCCTCTGAGGGTCCCCCAAAGCCAGCGCGGCGGCCTTCCCAGCAGCCGCCCAAGCCATTTCACTGGGATGTGGAAAGAAAGGAGGAGAAACCTTGTGTGTGTTTATTTTCATCTCCTCCTTTACCAGTTTTCCATGTGTCTGGGGGGCAGGACTGTGTTGAGTATTAGTAGCACAGTACAGAGTTTATAAGTAGATGCATACGTCTGCTTCGCGAGCGCGTCCTTCAGCTCCGCCTTTTACTGCAGTGGGGACAGAATCAGAGGTGTTGGGAGAGGACAGTCCAGGGTGAGGAACTGAACGGCTCAGCCAGCCCCTCACTCCCCTGTCCTGGTGGCTTCGGAGTCTACTGTTCCTCCCCTCCCCGCCGCCCCTCCCCTCCTGCCACCTCCCCTGTGACATCAGCACCCTGCTGCCCCTCGGCTTCCAGTCGCTGGCACGTGTCACGGTCTGCTGCCCTGGCTGGGTCTTCTGAGGGCTCATCCTTCCTTGAGCACCCGCAAATTCCGATGTCCCCAGCCCCTCTTTGAAGCGTCCCCTGGTGCTTACAACTCCCAAAGTGCCCTGTAGGTGTCTTTAATCGCCTAGGTCACTCGCATGTGGTCACTGTTTAACCCGCCAGTGCCTTCGTCTGGACTTTCCTCCTCTTGAGGGCCAGGCCCGCGTCCTGGCCTGTCCACATCCAGAACGGACCGAGGCTGACCAATTCCACACTGGAGGACAGCCCGGACCCAGGGAGGTTAATCGCCCTCCACAAGGTCAGGACTGCTGGTGTCAGTAATCGGCTTGAGGCGTCTAATCCGTCACCGGCAGGAACCTTGGGACGCACAGCAGTGGCCCGGGAGAGCTGGCAGGGGTGGTCTTGGCCTTCTCCTGCAGACTCCGTCTGGGGGGATGGGGCAGCCGAGCCATGTGCACCACCCTCTTCCTGCTGGGCACCTTGGCTGTGCTCTGGCGCCGGCGATTCGCCAACCGGGTCCAACCGTGAGAAACCGACTGGGCCGCGGGCTGGGGTGGGGGAGAAACTGCTTGGCTGAGCTGGAGGCGGGCAGGGGCTGCCTGGGCCCAGGGAGGCGAGAAGGGTTTGCAAAGACTCCCCATCAGAGCAGGGGACTCAGAGCTCCCCCAAGGCACTGGCTGCCACCTCCAGTCCCACAGCCCGATGGGGCCAGGCCCTGCAGAGGAGGAGGGGGTGGTCTGGGGTCCGGCCCACAGCTCTTCCTGCCTGTTCTCCCCCCCTCCCCAGAGAGCCCAACGAAGTTGATGGGGCAGTTGCGGGCAGCCACTTGGAAGCAGACTCCCAGTCCTCCGGCAGGTAAGGCAGAAGAGTCTGGGTGAAGGAGGGAGGCGCTGTCTGGGCGGCTGCCGCTGTGCCTGTCCCTCTCCATGCCCGGGACGTATATGGGTGTGTGCGCGCGCGCTTGCCCTGTCTGATGGCCCCTCGCCCCTCTGTGTGCCTGTTGGGCAGGCTCCGTGTCTGTTGTCCAGCTGGGACCGGGAGCCCCCAGCCTTTCCTCTGCACCAAAGCCCCTCAGCTTTGCCTGCCCAAGAGGGCCGGCTGGTCCCACGGTCCCTTCCCTGCAGGCTCAGGGGGCTTGGAGAGAGGGATGAGGCAGGAGCCGCTCTGCTGGCTTCGCCTGCCTGCCTTCCTTCCCCTCCCTCCCCCGCTACCCCCTCCCAGCTTCAGCCGGCTCCTCGGCTCCTCAGCCTGAACCTCCAGCAGGATTTGCTGTCCAGTCCCCAATAGAAGGCGCAGGAGGAGCATGACATCATCAGCACTGAGTGCCATTGGCTGGGCAGCCCTGCGGGCAGGCCGCTGTCTCCAGTGGCCAGAAAGTTAACTCTTCCCTAGGCAGGAGCCATGCGACCCTTCCGAGGTGTGAAGTTTGGGGAACTTCCGGGCTTCTCCTTCCCTGGGTAACCAGTGTCTTTTGATGACAGGGGCTCCTAGGTCCAACAAAACACAGAAAAAGCAGCAAATGCTCATTTGGGACATGCTGTTTGAAACGCCCTTCTGCGCCTGTGGACGCGCCGCGTGTGGGAGACCTCTCTGCAGGGTGACGCCCTCTCCCACAGAAGCACCTCCTGGCCCCAGCATTGCTTCTCCCCCTCCCGGGAAGCAAGCGGCACGTGCTCGTGGACCCCGGGGCCCTGAAAGAAGGGTGCCTCCCCACAGGGCTCGGATGGCCCGGCGGCCGGCAGGCACAGCGCTATCAGGCCGCCGGGCCTGCCTGAAAGTGCCCCTCGGAGGCCGTGGGGGCTGGCAAGCCGGGAAGCCTTGGGTCTTCAGGTCTCGGCCCGGGTCCCCCAGTTCCAGCCTCAGAGGGCCCGCTGCGAAGGCCCAGGCACGTGTGGGCCAAAGAGGCATTCCTGTGACGCCGCCTGGACACGCAGGCCGGCTGGGGCGGCCGCAGCAGTGCCTGGTTCGTGCGACCACGGGCACGGGCTGCTGTGTGTAAAATGGCTGTCACGGGGCCTCATGCGTGGAGGCCCTCAGCGCGGACCTCGCTGTGGAGTTTGGGCCTGGAGTCAGGCAGAGCTTCAGTGCGAGCTGCTCCTCGCTAACTGGGAGCCTGGGTGGAGGACGGAGCCTTCTCGTTTCTCTGTAAACGGGCACCAGGAGCGGCTTCTGCGCGGCTGGAGGAGAGGCTGTGGGAAGGCGCTCGGCCCGCGGTGCTGCTCCCTGATGCTGGCCGGCCCCTCGTCCTCGTCGTGGTGCCTCAGGACTTTCCCCGTCCCCAGGGGCTGCTCGTCTCGCGCCTCCCTTGGCGTCTCTCTCTCCACAGCAGCGGCAGAGGGCAGGCAGGACGAGAGTCCCTATCCGATGAATGGTGGAGGGAACTGAGAGGCACGGACACCTAAGTCACTTGCTCGAGGTCATCCGCCCAGTTTGTGGCTGATGTGGGACGGACAAGTCCCTCGCTTCGGGCAGTCCCTCTCCTCTCTGTGGAATGGGCCTGGACTTCCGGTCAGGAGAGGCAACGCCACACCCGGAGCCACTGGCCAGGCCTGGCCTCGTGTGACCGAGCCAGAAGGCAGCGGTTGCTTGTGAAGTCTTTGGGACCCAGATAACGGGAAAAACTGGCCTAACATCTAACCCCGCCTGCTCCTGCTGACGGTGGCTGCCACGGAGGGCTGGCCCGGCTGGCGGGAACGGTTCATGTTCTGCTCTCCAGTTCCACAGTTGTCAGTTTCAACCGGTTTTTGGGGTGCTCCTGCCCCTCAACAGTAGGGTGGGACAAACCCCAGACTCTCCCCTCACGATTCTAGTCCGGCCGGCCCTCCGTCCGCCGGGGCCCAGGGCGAGAGCAGGCGCCCCGCTTCTCTGGAGCTGGCTGATGCCCCGTGCTCAGGGGTGACCGCGGCGCCGTGCGGCGGGCAGGGCAGCAAGGGCTTTGCTGTCGGCTGTAATGCTGGTGGACGTGTCGATGTCGTGAGGCTTGTATCTCACCTGAAAACTGACCGAGGAGCAGAGACACACAGCAGAGCTTGCTTGGGAGCTTCGCCCAGCATTTTCTCAGAGGGCAGTCCCTCCCTCCAGCCCTGAATCCCGTGTGTCTCTCCGTCCAGGGAGACAGCGCCTCTGGAGGAAGCCCTCACCTCGACAGGCGCGGCTCGGCCCCAGGAACTGGCCCCAGGAACCGGGGTCGGCCGGCTGAGGCAGGTGGGCTGGGCCGCGAGCCCCGGAGGGCAGGGCAGGGGCTGGGGAAGGGAGAGTGTGCCAGGCCTGGCCACACGGGAGCGGAGCGGCCACGTTTGCTGTGTGGCCGCCCATGGACTGAGGGCAGGAGGGTGGACTCCCTCCACCAGCTCCTCCCTGAGCCTGTCTGTTCACTGCCAGGGGGCAAGGGTTAGTGCTGAGGGCGCCACGTGCGATCTGGACAGCCCATCCTAGGCTCGGGGACGGGGCAGCACTGGGGGCCTTCTAAGGGAGGGAGGTGCTCTGGAGTGTCCACTCGGCAATGCAAGGCCCCGTCTCGGTGTGGGAGAAAGTGCCCTTCTGGTTTGGTTTTCTGTGTCAGCTCGGTTCTGGTTTGTCCCTTCCCTCAGGGTGGTGCAGAGGCCGGAGGGGGGCGGGGGTAGGGTTTGGGGCAGCGGAGAGAGAATGAGAAAAAGATGCAAATGAGGAGGTAGATTCCTCCCTTATCTGCCCCTGGGCCCCCCAGTCCTCACTTCTCCCCAGGCCCAGCTGTGGGGCTCCTGAGGCTGGTCCAGGCTGGGGCAGGCCCGGGCTGGGAGGGCAGAAGAGATGCTCCCTGCTCTCCAATGGACTCCCTGGAGTTCCTGGGGCAGCTCTGGGGCAGGCGCACAGAACAGGACTCAGCAGGGTCCCCCTGGTGAACTCCGCAGCCGCATGGCCCAGGCTGGGGCAGGGCGAGGGGGAGACTCACGCCTGCCAAGGAAGGGTTTCCTGCGCCTGCTCTAACGGAACACTCCCGGTACCCACCGGCACTGCTCACACTGCCCGCCGCAGTTTAGCACCGTGGAAACGCGCGGAGAGGCCAACTGGTGTGCCCAGCGACGGCTCGCTGGTGAGCGGGTACTGGGCCCCCGCAGAGGCTCCCCACGGGCATCTGGAAGTTTGCAGCGGCTCCGCGTGGGCGGGTTCCCCGGCCTGGCCGCCTCTCTGACAGCTCAGGGGCCACTCTTTTAGATCTCAGCCGTGGTCCAGGCGCTGCGGTGTCCCTTTGCTCTCGTGGCACTCACTTGCTATGGCATTTGCCTCTCCCTGGTCCCCAGGGCTTGTGTGCCTGCAGCTAGACGGAAGCCACCCCCAGCTGTCCTCCGAGAGTTTTCTGAGCTGTGTGCACGCGTGTGTGTGCATGTTCCAAACGGGCAGCAGAATGTGGGAAGGGAAAGGCGCGACACTTGCTTTTGTCAGTCTGCCGACTGCTCAGTAACTGGGGGGGCCCCTGTCCCCCACGGCTCTGCCATTTCTCTCTCCACCGTCCTGCTGATCCATGCGGAGATAAAAGCAGATTTCTGCTTCTGCTCCCCGGGATCCAGGCACAGGCCCTGCAGGCAGCTGCTCCCCTCTGTCTCCCATGGCCCTTCATCTTCCAAAGTCCCCCACCCCGACGTGCGCGCATCTCCCTCCCTGCCCAGCCCCCACTGCCCACCCAGCTGCCAGGCTTCTGCCTCGCTGGCCCCGGCCCCTGACTTCCAGGAAGCAGGAGGCGGCAGAGTTCTCTAGGCAGCGGCACCTCACAGCTGAAGGGGAGGCAGGAAAGGGGGAGAGACCGTGGGGACCAGGCTGGAGCCCGGGGGGAGGGCTGCTGATCCTGCAGGGAGCCTGACGGTTCCTGGGAGCCTCCAAAGTAGGGCAGGTGGAGGCAGGGAGGAGCCACGCCAGGGGAAGGAGCTCTGGGCCGGGACCACGTCAGAGCCCCCGCGCCCACCTGACAGGGGCCGGGAGTCTGAGCCACCTGTCTCAGCTCCCGCCAGCCTGTCTTCCTCCTGGGAGGCGTCGGCCTTCCTGGCGGCGGGCTGTCAGGCGGGGGGCCAGAGGGCACCGTTCCCAGACGGTCTGTGTTCCCTAATCCGATCTTTGCATTCAGTCTCTGATCTGTGGGCCACGTTCCTGTCACTTCGTCCTGGCCTCTGCTCTCTGCCATCGCCAAGTTGCCTGTCTCCTTCCACTGGTCAGAGGAGCTGCCAGGCCAAGGTCAGCCCGCTGCACCGGGGCTGGCTCACAGCCCAGACACACAGCCACAGAGTGACACCCCTTTGCAGCGCTGTTCTAAGATCCTGCTCAGGAGATGGTGGCTCCTCCAGGGATCCATTGGGGATTAAGGGAGGGAAGGAGAGGCGGGGACTGGGGGCAATGGGGCGACGCCGCGCCTGCCCAGGCTGGGAGGCTGCGGCCCTGGCAGCTGCGTGTGGCTCCCCCTCCCTGTGCAGGCTGCTGGGGTGGGAGCGGGTTGTTTACACCTTTCCCCCTCGCCCAGCCCCCGCCCGCTTGCCTCTCTCTGGCCCTGCCAGCCCTGGCCTGTCTGCACAGCCTGCACAACAAGCGGCCTCCCTCAGCCTAGGACTCCTCCATAGAAGGCGGCCTCCAGGGCCGAGCGCCCCCTCCCCAGCCCCCTGTCTCCTGTCTCAGGGGTCGGTGTTAAGCCCATGGTGGGGGTGGATGCTGGATGCAATGTCCTCAAGGGGCTGAGTCCCTCTCTCCTGCCATTTCCTTGGAAAGAGCCACCGCTTGGAAATGGGAGCAGGAAAGCCCAGGCGCTGGGCAGACAGGAAGGAGGGACTGAGGGCAGGTGGGGAGACAGCCGAGGCCAGAGCAGGGTCACCGGGGCATCTTGTAGAGGTGCTGCGTGTCCTACTTTAGACAACACATGTAAAGCGCACAGCACGCTAAGCGCGCTTTGCACGTGAGCTGGTGTGATTGTCTGTGCCCTGTCAGTTCCGAACATGCAGTAACCTAGAACGATTCGCAGGCTCGAACAGCTAGAGCTGCTCCCCCTCACCCCACGGCCCTTCCGCCCTGTGTTTCTGCACACACAACAGCTGGTGGTGGGGCAGGCGGCAGGGGGGTAGATTCTGGAGCAAAGTAGAGCACCGCAGAGGGCGCAACTGCTGGGCGGGGGCACCTCAGAAGACACAGCGCCCAGGATGAGAGAGCACTGCGTCGCCTCTGTGGGCCCCGAGCCCTGTCCCGACCTCCAGCAGGGGTCTCTGCCGGGCCACCTCCCCAGCAACGGCTCTGCTTCAGGGCATGAACCTGAGCACCCAGAGAAGCCAGGAGGCGCGGCCCTGGCGCTTCCACCCTCGGTCTGATTGCGAGTCTCTCTGCGGGTGGGGCCTGAGTGCCAGGGAGAGGGCTGCTCGGGGCTGCGGGGGCCCAGGGCAGCGCTGCGGGGGCCCAGGGCAGCTGCCGACAGGGAGGTGCTGCCATCGGCTACTTCTGTGCCTGAGGCTCGGGGCTGCTGCCAATCTCCCCTGGAGACTGGGACACGACCAGAGAGCAGATGAGGTGGGGGGAGGGGAGGGGACAAGGGAAGCAGCCGTAGCGGCTGCTGCTGTCCTGCGTCACCCTAGGGTGCAGATACCACCTCGGGGAGTCCCTGCCCTTCCCAGGCGTGTGGAAGTGGCAGGATGGTCCTGGAGCGGCGCAGGTAGCTGAGGCCTGGACTGCGACGGGCGGGGCCCGCTGCCGGCCTGGGGTGGGCACGAGGCCGGGGGCGCAGGGTCTCCCGCTGGGCCCGCAGGCTCCACGGCCCCTCGGCAGCGTCCTTGCTGTTGGGAAGGAGCCCAAGGCCTTGAGCTAGAGGGGCGTGATGCTTCTCTGGGAGCCTCAGGAGAAGGGCCAAGTGGTTTACCCTGCGGTTTACATGAATATAGCGATAATGATTACTACTAATATTAGTAATAATGGCCAGCGCATCTCACATAGTCATTAGGTGCCAGGCCCAGTGCCAGGGCCTTACTTATAAGCACTGTCCTGTTTACGAGGCAGGAGCCATTGTCCTTCTCATGTACCCAATAAGGAAAGTGAAGCTCACAGGGTTCACTCAAGGTCACGCACAGCTAGTGGCGAAGCCAGACCTGCATCTGGGCAACGGGAGGCCAAAGCTGGAGAAGCTGTTAGGACGCGAAGGACCTGAGTCTAGAGTTGGGTGTGACCCGTCCGCCAGGGCCAGGGAGCAAGAGCGGCGGTCCCCTCTCGGGCGACACCGCCGCAGGGGGCCAGGCCGGGCGTGCAGGGTCATGCCCATGCCTCTCGCTCCAGGAGCTCGGCCTTCAAGGGCCGCCGACTCCGACTCGTCTGTGCCTGCTGGTGGGCGCGGAGAGGGGGCTGCCGCTCCGGGCCGCCATGCCCCCCGCGGAAGAAGCAGTGGCCAAGCAGGGATGACAATGAGGCCACCCCTCGGCCGCTCTGTGGCGCCTGCAGCTCCAGGGAGGGGGAGGCGGGGGGGGGGCGGTTCTGAGGAGAAAGGCTTTGTTTTTGCAGCGGACGAAGCAGGGCATGGGAGTCGTGAAGGCGGCCTCAGAGGGACCCGCTGCCATAAGCTGGAAACAAGTCCTTGCCCCCAGTGACGGGAGAGCCTCCCTGTGGGACGCCCCCTGGGGGGGTTAAGCCGAGGGCTTGGCTGAGAACATTCTGAAGGTTTAGTGAGGGTCCATGACCTGCGAGCGCGGGGAGGAATGGTCCGTTCTGGCTCCGCGTGGACACACGCACACACCTAACGCCGTGTGTAGGAGCCAGGTGACCTAAGCATTGAAAAATCATTTCATTTATTCCACCGGTCATGTAGTCAACAAGCGTGTGTTAGGAGCCGAGAGTGTACGTCGCAGGGAGTGTGGGGGGTGCTGGGGTGACAGCGATGGAAGGGACAGGGCTGCCCTCCAGTCAGTCCGACAGAAAGATCCCCAGGCAGGAAGCCCAGCTCCGCCCGCTCCGCCGCTGCCCGCGCACGTGACCGCTCCCTCTCTGGGCCTCAGTTTCCCCGTTTAAGAAGCACATGTGGATCCCAGGTGGGCCCGTGCTGAGGGCGGAAAGGACTGATGGCCGCCTTCAGGGAAGGAGCCGCCCGGTAAAAGGAAGGGGATGGGCCTCCGGGAGCCCCACAGATCCTTGCGACCAAAACTGACTTTGGGGGGCTGTCTGGGGCGCCAGGACCTGCCCGCGCAGCCCGCCCTTGGTGTGTCTGTGTGCCAGTGGCTGTGGATGCACGATGAATTACGACTCCCTTCCACAGACAACCAGGATCCCGGGCAAAGTACAAGAAACAAGCACTGGGCAGCAGGCAGCGCACAGGACGGTGGCCCACGACCGCCTCAGCGCCGGCCTCGGACGGCTCCTGCCGTGGCTTGGGGGCCGGCGGGCGCCCAGGCAGCCCGCCGGTCTCGCCAAGGCGGGGGAAGACACCAGAGCTCGGGCGGCGCGGTGTCCCTGAGGATGCACGCAGGTCAGTGGGGTCCGCACACGGATGCCGCAAAGGTGATGCGATGGAGGAACGGACATCCTCTCCACAGGCTACAAAAAGCAATAACCATACAAGAAAAACCGATTAATTGGACTTTATCATAA